TCTTCTTCTTCTTCTTCTTCTTCTTCTTCTTCTTCTTCTTTTTCTTCTTCTTCTTCTTTTTCTTCCTCTTCTTCTTCTTCTTTTTCCCCTTCCCCTCCTCCTCCTCCTCCTCCTCCTTCTCCTTCCTTCTTCCTTCTTTTCTTTTTTCTTCCCTACTTTTCTTCTTCTCTTTTTTTCCTCTTCTTTTTCTCTTCTCTTCTATTTTCTTTTTTTTCTCTACTTTTCTTCTTCTCTTCTCTTCTTTTTTTCTTTTTCTCTCTTCTTTTTTCTTTTTCTTCTCTACTATTCTTATTCTTCTCTTCTTTTTTTCTCTTCTTCTTTTTTTCTTCTTCTTCTTCTTCCTCCTCCTTCTCCTCTTATTTCTGCTCGCTCTTTGGGGCTACATAAATCACTCCAATAGTTGCGTTTATTCTGGCATCTCATTGCCCGTAATTAGATACTGGGTAGTCCTCGACTTACAACCACAATTCAACCCCAAATTTCTGTGGCTAAACAGAGACATTTGCTAAGTGGATTTCACTCCATTTTAACGACCTTCCTTGCCATGCCTGTTCAGTGAATCACTGCAGTCGTTAAGCGAGTTGCCAAGCGAATCGGGCTTCCCCGTTGGCTCTGCTATTTGGAAAGTTGCAAAAGTGACCCCACCCCACCCCAGGACACTACAACTGTCATAAATATGAGTCAGCAGCCAAGCGTCCGAAGTTGGATCACAGGACCATAGGAATGCTGCACCGGTCGTAAGTGTGAAAAGGGGTCATCAGTCACTTTTTTTCAGTCCCATTGTAACTTTGAAATGGTCATTAAATGAAGTGTTGTAAGTCAGGACTACCACTACGTCTGAAAAATTCATCTTCCTTGGGTGTTTCATCAATCGTTCTCTCTTCAGTTCTGTTCTTCTACCGAAGAAACTTGGTAAACTGGGAAGTGATGTCAAACTTCCCTAATCTAAGGAACAACTTTAAAATGTTGGTTGAAAATTATGGGGATTTCAGAATGGAATTCCATCCTCTTTTCCAAGCTAAGGTCTGCCGTTGGGCTCAGCTAGCAGGAGGAACTAAAATTTCCGGTTATTTACATTCACATTTGAAATAGGGATGACATAATTATTCTCCAGAATAATTGGCCCTTTGGTTGCTTACAATACAGTTGGGTTATAGCAATAGCAATAGCACTTAGACTTATATACTGCTTTATAATGCTTCACAGCCCTCTCTAAGTGGTTTACAGAGTCATATTGTCCCCCAACAATCTGGGTCCTCATTTTACCCACCCCGGAAGGATGGAAGCTGAGTCAACCTTGAGTCTGGTGGGATTTGAACTGCCAAACTGCTGGTCGCTGATAGTCAGCAGAAGTGGCCTGCAGTACAGCTCTCCTAACCACTGTGTTCTGACCCAAACCCTTTTCCAATAAGACAAACAATAACCAAAGAGAACAGAAAACTTTTAATGAGTCTTACGAATCCCCAAATTAACTTTGATAAACACAAACCTTGCCAAAACTGTGCGAGGCTGCCAAAAACCACAGATAAATATTTCACAACACAAGAATCTTCAAATACCAAGTTAAGATACTATAATGTCCACGAGGCTGAGTTTCAAAACGTCTTTGCTTTCTGCAAAGAACGCTTTTCCAAACCTGGCTTTTATCCTCTTGAGAGAGGGGCCATTACCTTGCAGCCTTACTCCTGAGTCGCCTGTGCTGCTGTAATTGTTCTTTCCTCCGAGTAATCCTTCGTGCACATGCACTTGGCACGGGCTCCTCAGGAGCCTCCTCATCGCTGTTGCCAGCCCCCACAATCTCTGAATGCAACAGTCCGCTCCCTGATGGTCCTGGCCCCTCATCCTTGCTCTCCTCAGCCGTCCGCACCTGCTGCCGGCTAACCACAACACACTGTGCCAGCGAGGCTCATAGTTCTGGAAGGGGTGGAAATATCTTGGACATGGTTAGTTTTTGATAAAACTTCCGTTTCTGGTCTCCTCCTCTGAATTGTTTTTTTTTTTTTAGTTTGGTTGGCTTTCTGAAAAGGCACAGGTGATGTCTTTGAAAAACTCTGGGGTATCTACTTTTTATATAGATTCTTTTTTTAAAAAAAAAAAAAGCTGCTAACGTCTTCCTTAAATATCATCTTCTAACAATATTTTTGTTTTGTTTTTGTTTTTTTCAGGCGAGGTATCCGGGCCGAGCCCCTTTATACGGGATATTGTGAATTTGATGTCCTGTGATTTTACAATCCCCTCCTTCTTCCAACCCCACCAAATATCTGTATTTTTTTAATACGTGCGGAAAGAAGCACATTTAAAACTGTCATCTGGGTCCTCGTTTTTTGTTTTTTTTTAAAGGAACAAATGGACGCTCAAGAAAAAGAGAAAACTTTGGTGATGGTCGTCTTAAATCTGGAGAACATACTAGAGCCCCCACCCCACCCCCCATCTCTGGGGTAAATGAAGAAAATCTGGAATTAGTTTCTTAGCCATCGAGCTCAGTGGTCTGAGTTGGTTTGGGTCACTTCCTCTTAGTTAAATCTGCTC